TACAAGATTAATCTTGGCCGGTTCACACTGTCTCCAAGGGTTTTTCAAGTTCTAATCAAGTACTGTAAACAACTGAAGGTTCTGTGCCTGGGATCCGTAACTTTTGTTGAAGACTTTCTGGTAAATGCGGAATCATTTCCGAGGCATCTCACAAAGTTGGATATTCGCCACAGTTCTGGTCACCCGAGCGCCTTCACGGCTATTAGTCATTGTCTACAAAGTTTACAGTGTTTCGGCCTTAGTAATTCATTTTTCGAAATTCTCAAAACAGAAGTCGACAAACGTCATTTGTTTTCCTCGTTGCAGGCTGTGAGAATACTCGAGTTCAGTTATTGTACTTCGCTCACAGATCAAATGCTCCGCTATCTCGCGGACAATTGCACGAATCTTCGATCGATCTGTCTCAGAAGATGCAACAACATCCGGGGACTGAGTCTCCCTCTGTTAGTCGATAGCTGTTCGTCACTGACTTCGCTAGTGCTCGATGGAACGAGTGTTTCCGACGACGCTGTTATACCGGTTCGCTGGGAGAGGTCGGTGATTACCGAAGTCGATCTCTCGTGGTGTCGACATCTGACTCAAGCTGGTCTCAAGTCCATGTTGCCTCGTTGCCGTTTTCTTCGATATCTGCGTCTGTGCTGTTGCGGATATGGTCACGCAATCACAGACCAGGTTCTTGACGCCATGCTTGAAAGTCACGCAATGCTTCGAAGTCACTGCAATTCGCTTCAAGTCCTGGATCTGAGTTACAGCAGTGAAGTCACGAACAGTGCGCTTGCGCAGTTTGTAGTGAGCTCTCCTTCGCTGCTCTATCTCAGAGTTTACCACTGTCAGAAGCTGACTTCCGCATTTGTGAATCTAATTCCCAGTGACTCGCAAGTATTCGTGGTCGCTAACTTTGCGTTGCAGCGAGGAGGTTTGGTAACAAGCGCTACCTTAGAGGAGCCTTGGACACTAATGTCCGAAACGCCGGTGAACTACTCAAGAACAGCAAGCCTGGATCAGAGTCTACGACAGGACTAAACAACTACCTTGGAAAAAAGCCCTGAGGAAATGTCCTACTTCGCTATGAAAGCAAACCGGAGGGGGAAAGTCAAGAGATGGGAATTTGGGGAGGAAGTTGAGGATAGTTAAAGTAGATTTTAATTATTGTATCTAATTAGAAACCGTCGTGGTGGAGCCTGAAAATTGCGTTAAAACTTAGATTTCCAAGATATCCAAGTATTTAAGTATGAACGTGGNCGAGGAGGTTTGGTAACAAGCGCTACCTTAGAGGAGCCCTGGACACTTATGTCCGATACGCCGGTGAACTACTCAAGAACAGCAAGCCTGGATCAGAGTCTACGACAGGACTAAACAACTGCCTTGATAAAAAGCCCTGTGGGAATGTCCTACTTCGCTATGAAAGCACACCGGAGTGGGGAAGGTCAAGAGAGGGGAATTTGGGGAGGAAGTTGAGGATAGTTAAAGTAGATTTTAATTATTGTATCTAATTAGAAACCGTTGTGGTGGAGCCTGAAAATTGCGTTAAAACTTAGATTTCCAAGATATCCAAGTATTTAAGTATGAACGTGGTACGATTGTAACGCTTTCACAAAGAGACGCAAAACCTCATTGGTCAATGAGAAAATGAGCGGGGAAAGTCGTCCGCGTCATTTCGAGGTTTGCATTTCATTGGTAAATGGGATGGAGGATCATGTCTGATTGGTCAGTGGCTTTTCTTCTAATTTTTGAATCAATAGCAATGGCAACTTAAAAACTAATCATTGTAATATCATTGTATAAACATCGAGAATCACTACTCCAGGAAATATTGTGAAACAAAGAAAACTTACATGCCCACCACGCTGTGGTCTGTGTGAGGCGACTCGACGATAACCATCCGATA